TGCCGTCCGTTGGGTCTGTGTGTCGGTGATTCTTCTTGCTTAATAGAAATGTAAACAATATATTCCGATAAATATTATTAAATAAGATTACATATATTCTAAGGAGGATCCCTATTGATTTTTGTTATTGAACTACACCGTCTAAAATTATAAATGAAAGCCGATAGCAGGTTCTCTGTTTTTTTTTTTTTTCTAGTAAAAAATATCGTAAATGTTTTTATTTTTTTTCATCAAACTTAAATGAAACATGAGGCGTGCACTTTTGGGTTTTCCAAACTATACTTTATAATTTAATCTAACACAAAGGCAACTTGCACTAAACAATTCTATTTCAGCCTTTGTTATTGTTTTTACTGTGAAATTCTGGAACTAACTAAAGTTCGGTATAAACAGCTTCCAGCTGGATTCATAACGTAATCCCACGTCCATAAAAACATTTAATATGTACATTTCTTTATGAATAAATAGATTATATTCATCGCTATTTAGTTCCCAATGGTCTAAATGTATTGCAAACTATAGAAAATAATATTTGTATAAATATAATATCATTAACGTTTGTAACACGTTGTATTATGAAGAAAAACTGAATTTATAAATTATCTCTATAACATGTAAATACGACAAAACGTTTCATTTTTTTTTATAGGAGAGGGAGCAAAGGTGGTAAGTGACTACCGCCGCCCATGAACAGCTGCAACACCAGGGAGGGAATCGCAGATGCGTTGCCGGCCTTTTAAAAAAGAGTACGCTCTTTTCTTAAAGGTCCCTAAGTCGTATCGGTCCGGAAAAATCGCTGATGGTAATCGATTCCACAAGGAAGTCGTGCGAGGAAGAAAACATCTTCTAAATCGCACAGTGGTGGACCGCCAATCATTCAGATGGTGTGGATGGTATTGGGAGTTCTGCCGCGATGTGCGTTCGTGAAATTTGGCGGCTGGGATTAATCCGAACAATTCCTCAGAGCACTCCCCATGGTAGTTGCCAAAAAAAAATGCAAAAGGATGCAACATCTCTTCGCAGTGCCAATGAATCGAGCCGATCGGAAAGGACTCGGTCGTCGACGATTCGAGCCGCTCTACGCTGGATGCGGTCAAGTGGAAGGAGCTGGCACTGGGGAGCCCCTGCCCAGAGATGGGAACAGTATTCCATGTGAGGCCGAACCTGCGCCTTGTAAAGTTGCAGGCGGTGTGCCGGCATAAAATACTGTCCCGCTCTGCTGAGCACGCCAAGCTTTTTAGAGGCCAATTTGGCTTTCTCTTCCAAATGACCATGAAACTGCACGTCACTCGATATGTCGACTCCGAGGATTCCGATACTGGCTGAGGCAAGAAGAGGAGTGCCTTGAAACTAAGGAGATACGACAAAGGGGTTCTTTTTAGCGGTAAACGCCCAAACTTGTGCCTTCTGAGAATTAAACTGAACTAGATTTAGTCGCCCCCAATCCCAGACTTTGTTCAGCAAAGACTCGACTTCAGACACAAGTTTGTTCCGGTACTCGGCGACGTTTTCCCGAGAAATATTGGCACGGCTGGTGTATAGAGCATCACCAGTGCTGTCATCCGCATAGCAATGAATGTTACCAGTTAGCAACAAATCATTGATATGCAGAAGAAACAGCGTTGGTGATAGCACACAGCCTTGTGGAACACCAGCGTTAATAGGCTTGTAGTCGGAGCATGTACCGTCTACAACGACCTTGATGCTCCGATCTGCAAGGAAGCTGGAAATCCAATTGCACAATTTCTCGGGAAGCCCATAGGAAGGGAGCTTCGAAAGAAGCGCTTTGTGCCAAATCCGATCGAAGGCCTTCGCAATGTCCAAACTAACGGCCAACGCCTCCCCCTTGGACTCTACTGCCTCCGCCCATCTATGGGTCAGGTAGACCAGAAGATCACCAGCTGATCGACCCCGACGAAAACCGTATTGGCGGTCACTAATCAGCTGGTGATCCTCAAAGTACCGCATGAGCTGGCAGTTAATAATGGATTCCATTATTTTGGAGAACAAGGAGGTGATCGCGATAGACCTATAGTTGGAAGGGTCTGAGCGGTCGCCTTTTATAGGGATCGAGTGGACAAAATCTGTCTTCCATGAATTCGGGACTACGCCTTAGGAGTAGGAGTACCGGAAAAGACGCGTTAGGACCGGTGCCAACTCCGGAACACACGTCCTCAGCACAATTGGTGGGATTCCATCAGGCCCACTCGACTTCTGGATGTCCAGGGAGAGGAGTGCTTTGCGAACCGAGCGCTGTGAGAACAGCCCATCCAGCATGGAGCACTCACACCGCGGGATGGTCGGCGGTGTTTTCCCCGTCATCAAGAGTCGAGTTGGACGCAAAAAGGGAGCCTAAAAGGTCGGCTTTGTCTTTTGCATCTTAGGCCAGTGAGTCGTCCTCCCTGTGCAGAGATGGTAGTGATGGCTTACAGAAATTCCCTTGGACAGCCTTGGCGAGAGACCAGAATGCACGGGTCCCCGAAGGAAGGTGAACTAGTTTCTCGCCAAATCTGCCTATGTGCTCTGACTTTGCCTTGGCACTAACTCTTTTGAAGGACCTGGAGGCGAAGTTATACTTCTTTTTAAGTGTGCTGGTGTTTACATCCCGAGTCGCCGAAGCCGCAGCCCAGGCTTGATAACACTCCTGCTTACTGCGTAATGCAGTCTTACAGGAGCGACCAAACCAAGGCTGAGATCTGCCTCCGATGGGTACCACAGATGATGGATAAATAGTTCCATGCCCTGTAGCACCACATCAGTGACAGAGACAGCAACAGCGCTGGGATCATCCGGCGAGAAAGATACCCTCCTCATGGGTAGGATGCAAAGAAAGACCGCATTCCGTCCCAATCCGCCGACCTGTAATGCCAAACACGACGGCAACCTGCAGAACGCAACCGCGAGGGGAGCGTGAGTGGCACCATACTCTGGATCAGACAATGGTCCGAAGAGCCGAGAGGGGCATCGACGGAAACCTAATATCCGTCCGGATGAGAGGTCAGCAGAAGGTCCAACAGGGAAGGTGTATGATCCTCAACATCTGGAATCCACGTAGGCGAAGTAACCAGTTGTGTCAGACCATATACCAAGGCAAAGTCATAAACAGATTTCCCCGCATGATCGGTTAAACGTGAACCGAGCCATTCGGCGTGGTGGGCGTTAAAATCGCCAAGGATCACGATCTCTGCAGATGGGACCTGTTGTAGCAAGGAATCTGTAGCTATTTGGACGTGGTCAATAAGTCGGTCTGTTTCGGCATTACCGCTATGGGACCTATAGAGGCACCCGTAGACGCGCGGATGGTCGTCGCTGTCTACGCGTTGCCAAAGGATTGTCAGCTTCAAACCTTCAAGACTGCCGAGGCATCGAGAACAGATGTCCTCTCTGACATACACACAATCTCCAGCCCGAGGCACAAAGGAGTGCTCCAATTTGTACCCCGGGTAGGAAAGATACGAAATATCAGCCGGAGAGGAAACCTGCGTCTCGGTCAGAAAGAGCAAGGCCGGCTTCGCCGTCTCGAGATGGTAGTGGACGTCATTTAGGTTAGAGTAAAGTCCCCTGATGTTGCAGAAATTCACGGACAGCGTGGCAACAATACCAAGGCGACCGCCTTGGTATTGTTGCTCAGTTTGCCCCGAGCAGTTATGTTTTTGAGCGGAATTTTGCCCCCCCCCCCCACCCCCTCAGAATACGTGGGGCAGCCTGAGCACCCACGCTCAGGATTGGAATAACATGGTCATGGATACTCAGCGAGGGATTCTCCAGGGAAACTGGAAAGACTACCGTAGTATTTCGTGTTATTCCGCTACCATGTTGATGGGGGGGAATTGGGCCTCCGGCCACCTGCACTCACCAGACGAAACGCAGAAGCAGAGCTTCTACTTCACGCCGGTATTCTGTGGTGGCCGGTAGATCGTGGTACCAACCCGACTCGAGCCGGTCCATACGTGCAATAGCAAAAACTGCTGCGTGGCTCTACCACCGTTAAAAACCGTGCTCTGAGGAATTGTTCGGACTAATTTCAGCCGCTCAATTTCACCATCGCATATCGCGACAAAACTCGCGATACCATCCATACCATAAGGATGATTGGCGGTCCACCACGGTGCGATTTAGAAGATGTTTTCTTCCTCGCACGACTTCCTTGTGGAATCGATTACCACCAGCGATTTTTCCGGACCGATACGACTTAGGGACCTTCAAGAAAAGAGCCTACTCCTTTTTAAAAGGCCGGCACCGCATCTGAAATTCCACTGGTGTTACAGTTGTTCATGGGCGGGGGTAATCACATACCATCAGGTGAGCCGTATACTTGTTTGCCCCTTCTCCTATAAAAAAACCTTGAACTATTATTTTTTAACATAGTCAAACAACCGTTTTATCTTATTGTTAGGTTCACTATAGAACCAAACGCATTAGCTTACAGTTTAACATATTATGTACCTAATATACTGTAGGAATAAAATATATAAAAGTATATAAAAATATATAAACTAAATAATCGTTTAAATCATCAGTTGCCTAATAAATTTTCCCGTCTATCATATTATCATTACAAATTTGTCTAAACACCAAACACTTTTACTATGTTTATTTTACTCATATCTTTGTTTATAATGTCAACAGCACATCTTTTCTTGGAGCCTAAAGAATAAACGTAATAAATACACCAGCAATTGCAAAATATGCTTGTTAATAATGCCCATGTTTTGACTTATAACAACCAACAGATGCTGTGAAGTTTAAAATAATTTATTTAAAATATAGTCGCTGTTACACCCACACGTAATATTTAACGGCCTTATTGAATATTGCTTACCTAAATTAAGTATTTAATCATCTCTATACCTGTCTCGTTCTATTGGCGTTTAGTGAAAAAAGAAAGAGCATTTCAAGGATTTCTTAAATTGTCGTCGATTTTAGTAGTAAGGCCGTAAATATATACTATCAGTACTACATATACTACATATACTAACTATGCTGGCAATAACCCACAGATTAGACCAAATTCTTGGGAAGCAAGGTTCGAAGGCCAAAGACGTATATGCATCCAAAATCAGCCTAGCTTCCAGAGTAGTTAAAATTGAAAGACAGGTCAGTGAATTTTTATCTTCATTTTATAAAAATTATTATTATATTATATATATAATTTATATTGATGAATTTATATTGATAGTATGCTTACATGATCATCATCATCATTGCAAGCTATCAAAGTCCACTGCTGCACATAGGTCTCTCTATATTTCCCATAGTTGCCACACTTGGCAACTATAGATTTTTTATTATTTTGAATAATGAAGATGCTGAGGCCATTGTCTTGTTTTAATTTCCCTCTGTCGTCTCATACGACACCACGGGATAATAAGAGCAAGTGGATTCCCTTATTCGCTACTACAACTCTGAATCTGACATTCAGAAAAATAATTCGAGAACACTGAATCAATAATTTCGAACTTTGAAATAAAAATAAAATCAGTCATACTAATGAAGTGAACAGATAAAAAATAATTTTTGTCATTCTCATAATCCCGGCGTTCTCTATCGCTTCTACCGCAAAAGTTGCTTGGACACAGACTCTTCATCCCATGTAGGAAGGAGTTGAAAAAGTTTGGCATTAAGATTGGCAGAAGTTACGGCTTCTACCACGTTCTATTTACCCATCTGGATTTTATATTAGTAGTATTTGAGGCATTTTTTCCATAATTAAAATTTTCCATAAGTTCAATTAACGCAAATGCTTTTATTTGCAGGTAGATGACATAGAAAGTAAGTTAGATCATTTATTAGAGATGTATGAAGAAGATAGAAAATTAGTGAGAAGAATCGACAACGGTGCTAATGGAGGCGCAGGAAGCGGGGCGTCTGGAGATGCGACACTGCGAGCACGACCGGCCATCGCAGACAAGCAATCATCGGAGCCCAACTCGCCCGTGTCCCGTACTTTTGAGCCATCCGGCGGCGGTGCGACCGCGCCGGCTCCGCTTCATAAGCGTCCCATGAACCGGGGCTATTCTGATTTAGGGACGAGATTTATGCGCAAGAAAGTAATTGTAAAGTAAGTTGTTAATAGTAATAAATACAAATTGTAACCAAATAACGGACTTGTCTACTAACGTACGGTTATCTAACGTGAAATAACAATAATTAGTAAGATAAGATATCCAGCCAACACAAATTCTACAGGATAGTCTCACAATAGCACTTGTAATCTTGCCTTATAATAATTACTAATAAAGTCGTCCCATGAAAAGTCTTATGCATTCCGCATGTCTTATTTAATAACCTGTTTCAATACGAGAAACGGGAGTGGATGTGGATCGGAAAAACCAATTTGGGGATTTTATGTATAAGAGCCGAATAACATAGGGTAAGCGGTATATTGATTGGCACTTTAAGCGGATTTCTACTATTAAGTTGTTAAATCTCATAAATATACAAAGTTGTTATATTTTTTATTGTTTTGTTGGATTTTAGTTTAGATAGCCATGAATAAAATAACGCATTACGTTTAAAAAGAAATGTTTAACTAAGTTAAAAATCTAATTAAACTTTTTTCTAGGGAATGTTACAATCATTGGCACTTTAGCATAGTAAATGGCACTGTAAATTAAGTATAATCATTGGCACCATTGGAAGTCTTAAAAAGTTATACCCAGATCTTCGAAGCTCTTATTGTTATAAGACTTCTTTTGAACAAATCTTCTTCAAAAATTTTCCTTAGATCTTCATCTGAAAGCGGTTTGTTGGTCTACCATGTTTTTTTCTTTCTTCGTTTACATTTTTGATGTGACTTTTTTAGTAAAACCTTTCGTGTTTTCTCAATATTTTGTTTTGTTTATTTCGGTTTTTTAGATTAAACATTTCGAGATTCTTGTTTTGTTTGTCACTTTGTTTCTATATTTGGCTGACTAATTCAATTCTGCATTTTCCATTTGTGCCCAATTTTTCCATTATTTTTTTAGCTCCGCTGCTTCCGAATTTTCACTTGTTAGCACAAAATTAGCGTTGTTTACCTGCTTTTGCTTTTTTATACGTATTTGGCAATGGAAAAAACTCTTTAAATATTTTTAGGGCTTTCTAAAAGATTTTTGTTTGTTTCGACATCCACAATCACCCATTCACCTCCAACAAATTCTAAATTTGCTGCCTAGTTGATGAAAAACATAGGGGTAAGTTTTCTTTCTGATACTCAACAATAATCTCTGCAGGTTGTATACGCTCTGTTACTGATAAACCATTATTAAGTGAAAGGATACAAGGCAAATTTGATACAGGTATTTCTGATTCAGTCGTTATTAGTCGTTATTCTTAAAATATTTAGTAATTCAGCGTAATGGCAAGGAACGGTGATCATTCACAGACACTTTGTTTAATCCACTTTGTCTGGACTAAATGGACACAACCCTCATATCTCAAAACCATTTCATAATGTAGATTTATTTTAATACGGTAAAAGTCTTGCTAATATATGCCCGCATCTGTTTTAGTAAACCTTTTTGTCAAATTGTTTGTTCGTCATTCGAAGACAGGTTTACGTCACATATCTTTGGTGGGCCGAAATGCAGAGATAACAGCTGGTTGCAATAGTTGCGTTGCATTCAGGTTAAGGGCTATAAGTATTATGGCGAGACTTAGGCAAAGTTGCGCCGTATTTAAGACAGTAAATAACCCTCTCTCTAGGCACTAACTTTTGAACGTCTGATCACATTTTCTATAGGGGGAAAATAATAGGTTTTACCGTCTACTCCAAAGAACAATGATGCAAGACTTCAATTAGGCATGATTCACCTCATAGAAGTTTTATTCTCCCTCTATAAAACGGTTTAGTATGTATGGGGTATTTATTCAAAAACCTCACATTATTGACATTTTTATGACATCGAAAACTGTGCCAGTACCAGGTGGTCGGCTAATCAGCTTCTTAGTTTTTTTGACTTTACTTATTTAGTGGGCACTGTAAATTCGCGCGTGGAATGTTAAATGTTAGTGCGGCAGTTATTTTTCTAAAGCGCCCGCTCTTAATAGCGGTATTCTTCTTCAATTCAAAATATGAAAAAGATCAGTCATAATCATTGGCGCTACTCAAAGGATACAGTCATTGGCAGTGTCAAGAATAGATTTTGGACAAAAGAAAGAAAGTATAGTGATTGACATATATGCCAATGATTATGTAGTCAAACAAAGTAAAGTATAGTTATTGGCACAATTAAAAAAACCGATGCTTCTAATTCGCAACGATAAAATAACGTTTAATATGCTTGAATGACGTAAATTGATAAAAATAGACAGAAACTTGCATATAAACTTACCTAAAAATCACATTTTTGTCTCAAAATCTAGCCACAAAACCTTAATTTTGTTAAAATTTAACGGATTTGTCCACACACATTTTTAAAACAGCCCTTATAGGAAAATAGTTGACGCTTTAAATATAAATGTGTATTGTTAGTATAAATAATTATATATCTTAGCAATATCTGTGTAGCTGTGATATAGAAAAAGGAAAATATTCTTAATATTTAGATTAAAATAGCAAAGTGCCAATCATTGAGGAGTGCCAACATTAGTACTGTTTACCCTAATATTAATGAATACTTGATGTGTATTATATAATGTACAGTGTGTAACGAATATTTAAGTCGTAAGATATGACAGGGGAAAACTGAACCAAAAGATGGAGGACAGCAGCATTTAATCATTCTGCTACAAATAAAAATAACAGCTAAAAATAATAAAAATCTGTAGTTGCTAGTTTAAAAGGGGGAATCATATTTTCAGCAATGGTTAGTGAGAAAGCTGACTTTTGATGGACTGTAAAGCAATACTTTACTCCTATATATTGACTTGGGTCAATACCCAAGTAAATATATTCCAAAAACGTTTCATTTTCTGTTGTCACGTTTAATTTGCTGTACTATGAACAAAGTTGAAATACTGTTTCTTTGGTTTCGTTCGATTAATTATCCCGACTCGAAACATACAATAAAGAAACAGTTTCAATATTTTACTTAATAGCTTCGTAAATATTACAGAAAATCGAACGTAAACAAGGCATTTCTTAAATATATTGAACCAGACATAAAAAGAGTTAAATACATTAACAATATTAATATCAGAGTTCCTATACACTATTATTTTTGACGTTATTAAATAAATTTCAACAAAAAAAAAACACTATAACGAAAGTTGTAAGTTCGTCATTCCCGAATGGAAAACTGTCTTATATTACTCGCCGCGCCCGAAACGTGCTCACGCAAGAAAATCATTAGCCATAATGAAAAATTATTATTTCTTACTGCCGGTACGAATCTACACATTCGTATGTTAATAATGCAATGTAGTATAAGATATTTTTTCAATATAGATTTTAAATAATACATATCAGAAATATTTTTTCTATTTACTAGATACTGTTTCGGATAGAAAAATCTGTTCTGAAAAAAAAAACATTTATCTCTATGCGGCAGAGTCCAAAGGAGGGAAGTATTTAGTAGTATTTTTATACGTGGTAGATGCTGCAGCTATATTATGGTTGTAGCACGAATAGGTCGGCTCGACCGGGGAAGGACCACGCTCTCACAGAATAAAAATAACAGCAGAACAAAAAATAGCAGCTTAACGCTGCTGTGTTTCGTTTGGTAAGTGTAGAGAACCGGAGACCCTTTTTACTGGAAGGCATTCTATCTTAGACGTCACGGGCGACAACGCATCTGCATTTTGATTCTTAATCGAAGATAGATGTAGATATCTATGGGCCACAGCAACCACTTACCATCGGGTGGACTGTGTGCTCGTTTGTCACCCTTATCCTATAAAAAAAAGTATTTTTCTCTGGCTTGTATATTATTTATGTATTTTATGGTTATTTCCAATATTTTCTTTATAAGGTATAATAGGTACACGTTTTCAATTCATAATATATTAATAATAAAGAAGGTTAGTAATAAAAAAAATAGTTAAGGGTAATTTGGACCACTTTTCATTAAGTGATCACTGCCCAATTTGCTTAATAACAATTTACAAAAAAGTACATCTTGTTAAAATAGAGATAAGCGTAGGTCGATTTAAGCGAGGATTTCGTAATAAGTGACGACCTTGTAATCGTTGATTAGCGCTTACTTCAATTAAGTATTAATTATCTTTATACCTACCTCTTTCTGTTCTCATTTGGTAAAAAGAGAGAGAGCTACTTTAAGGTTTTAGTTTTGACTTTTATTTAATTATATAATTTATTTGAAATATACTTATTTGTTAATTGTTTGTTAGCAATCGACAAACTTTATTTTTGATAATAATTTACTACTTTAAATTAAATTATTATTAAAAAGACATGTACATATATAAACATATATGTATGTTTGCATATATATCTTTCAGATAATTATTGTAAATATACACAATTGCAGGACATCATCAAATCGTAACGGTGAATCACCTCGCGATGATGAAGTAGTTATCGTAGTACCAACCGATCGAGAGGACACACCACCGCGCCATGCTACAGACAGCTCAGGTAAATAAACCTAATTTGTTAATACAGTTACCTACTATTACCACAGAATAAATAATAGTACTACGCTATTACTTAGTAGGTAAGGTGATGAGACTAAACATAAAGTTCTATCGCTTGCTTAGAATATTTTTATGTTTTCAAGAGAGCTTAGATAAAAAGTGCATAATTTGCCTGTTTAATTGTAAAATAACTCCCCAAAAAATTTCAATGGTTTGTATGTAACAAACCAAATGAATTTAAGATAATTTTGGATTTAGTTATAAAAATATTATTTATTTATTTGGTTTTTTTATCTCTAATGGAATAAAACGAAATGAAATGAAAAGCAGAGATATATAGTTGATTTTTTTATTTTTATATCTTTTGTAACAAAATATTCTAATACTAATTTTCGAATCTATTGACAAATATTTACTAACGAAAATGTGTAAAATTAAGTGTTTTTATTTTACAAATTGGAAAAATTGTAGCCCATTTAAATTAACAGAAATTGAATAGTAAACGAGATGTTTCATCTAAAATGGCTTGTGCTTTGTAAAAAAAAATGCAAATTCGTGAACTGCGAAATATCGATCAATGCTTGGTGCCGTGATTGAAGCAGCAATGAGATAAGTTTGGCATCCGTCCGTGAGTAGAAGCACAAATGAATGCTTCCAACGTGTAGGCATAGTGTATTTCTAGCTTAACCTGCTTATTATATCATCATATATGTACATATATATCCTATATTGATTTATATTACTTGCTGTTTATTGCTAAACTATATGTTCACAATACTTACATATGCACATTATGTTAGAACGTAGATGTGCGTATATCTACACCATAAGGATTGAGAAGTAATATTTGATGTCTTGAAATATTGATTAACCAAGTGAACATCGTTGCCATAGGTATAAATATGCGAATATTACAAAATTGCAGCATCATATGAAGACTATTCGTCGTCGACTTCTCTCTGACCGCCATCTTGGGAGAGCCCCCTTCTTTATGACCGGCCCCGGCTGCGTGAGTCCTAATCTTTCCCCTATCGATGTGTGGAATGTGTATAATAGTTCCTCTTTGTGCCCTCCCCTCTTGCTCCTCTTGACTGTAAAAAGGTGTTGTATTTAGAATTATTGCATTTCTCATTGTGTCTTTCAACCTATATTTGCCAATTTTTACCTTATAAATTATATGATTTTAAGTTTATCGCCAGAAAATTATCATCAAGTATTTTTTGCTTTTTGAAATTAAAACCTTTCCTCAAAATATTACTTTATTTCATTCTATAATATTATATTTAAATTATTTTTCATTATTATTGGGCACACAAGTACATTATACAAAACTACGGTATATTATTTTCATTTCATTCAATCTTCCCACAACACTACATTTTAACGCATGTCATTGTTATTTAGTGTGTAGATTTTGCTATAGTTTTGCATTTTTAAGAAAATGCTAGTGAATATAAATATAACAAACTAAAAATATACAACCGAAAACAAATTTAAGACTTTATTGATATTGCATTGTGGTAAACAAAAATAACCATAGTGGTTGTGTTAGAATATCCACAACCCCATATTAATATCGTGGGTGTCGACAGAGTGAAAGAAACCAGGTATTGGGCAGCAACGTCTTTCTAATAATACCTAGAAAATACATTATTAATTATTTATTAATTAAAATATTCCCTTTAAACTAGGGCAATTTGAATTTTGGGAAGGCCATGTTCTGCAGTGGACTTTGACAGGCTACAATAAAAAAATAATGAATGGAAGAATGATACAAATAACACATTATGTATTTTAAACTAATTAAGTATGATAATAACAATAATTTCTAACCTTCTGTCTTCATAAAATAAAAGGCAACAACACATTATATATATATTAATAGTTAAACTGTTTCGTAAATTTTTATCAACTTGGCTAAATATTTATTACGACTAAATATTTATTATGTTTATTACGACACTGTAAATACACTGTCGTAATAAGCATAAAACACTAGCAAAAACACAAGGCATACTCGTGGTTCCAATTTACATAATTATTAATTATTAAATCTTGATGACAAACATCCACCACTCTAACCTACATACAAAGTCGTCAATGTAATGAAAAATAATCTCTAAAATCTGTAAAATCTTCTATTTTTAATTTAAATTTACTAGAGCGTTTATTTCGATCAAAGTCTTGAGATAAATACTAATTTTTAAAGAAATAGAATATATTTGGATAGTTCTAGAACGGTTCAATAAACAGGACGTATGTAATTAATTTAGTTCTAATAATTGAGAACTTAAGAATATGTATGAGTTAAATAAGTTAAAAAAAATAGAAATACTTTTTAATATTTACAAGACGAGGACGACGTAAGATATCTTATGGCTGCCTGCGGAAGATGTCATCATGTTTACGCTAGGCGAAAATACCCAGAGCAGCAATGGGCGGCAGGGTCAAAGGTACGAAGCATCTGGTAATGCGATCGTCAATCCGCGTGAAAAGCGTAATCATAAAGGCAAATCCTATGAGGATGGTGAGGCCCGCTGTCCTAAATTGGAAATATATTGCACTCTTTAATATTTTTAATATATTTTTTATTTACGCAAGCAGATGTAAAACGTCCTTGAGACCTGAACGTCCTTGAAGAGACTTGGACTTGGATCAATGTCTATGGACTTTGACTTCGCAGTCCAAGGAGCCACGCAAAGCGTCATGCATAACAGTGTGGCAGCGCTGTCATTACGCCACAAGCTAAACGCACCGAAGCCTAAATCACGCAATCAAAGTTCCGAAGTACTGCGCTATATATATATAGAACAGCTCTGTACTGACACACGGAGCGTATTTAACACGCGACATGGAACTTTTGGAATCCTCAACTTCAAGCTTCGTCAAGTACCTTTTCCATTCACTCCCGAACAGATGTCGTCTACAGTCTTCAGATCCTGCAAGCACATTCATCGATAACTAGAAAGCACCGTCAACCTCCTAAGCAGGAGGGTGAAGTGGCGTCGTCGTCATCGCGCTACAAGTGAAGCGCACCTAAGCCTAAATCACGCTCAAGTTCTATGCTATGTATAGAGCAGCTCTGTGCTAACACACGGAGCGTTAGTCTCTCCTCGGGCTGAAAACCTTCCCCGGTGGGAGAAAGGAAGAGAAAAGAGCTTTTCAAAATAAAAACTAATGATACAAAATTATTTTAATCAGATACAGCATGGTATAAGCTGGATTAACGGTACAGTTATAATGGAGTTCAGTAAATAAGTGTTTAGCTTATAAGTATAATTGGAGCGAAGTTCCTTATCGTACGGTAGGCACGGCTAGGCGAGAAAAAGTGTAAGATTTTTCCGTCATGACCCTCTATCTAGAACGCGATCGAGATCGAATAATATCCATCTCCCTCGCACTTTTTCTTATCTTGCCATGAAAGCAATATTATTTTAAATAACATTTCATTTTAATAGACACTAGTAGTTCATTTGTTTGTATTTGTTAATCAATAATATAATACGTTTATCAAAAATATTATACTACGAAAGGAACTTCGTTCCAACCGAGTGTTCCACGGCACTCACGCATGTATTTTTATTAAGTAGAAACAGAAAATTTCTATTTTTTTAATTCTTTACAATTCCTGAATCAATTCTGGAGTGCTTAGATGCTCTAAACACAAGGGTAAACTTTACTTATTCAAATAATCTGCCAAATGAACTTTTTACTTTAAATACTACGCCCTCAAAATCATTTCTTAACGGTGTAACGAATATTTTATATTGGTATCAAAAACTTGGCTAAATTATTTTTAAATAATTTACATGAAGAGTCACTAACAAATAAAGTCAAGTGAAACGCTATACTAATTGCTATATTAAACATAACTACTAATTCTAACACCGACAAATCCAATTACAACTTCATCCTAATTGTGATTCTGGTCATGATGGTCTGAAGAATAATCTGAATATTACTGGAATATTTCCTAACGAATGGATAATTGCAGATGTTTTTCATTTTACAAGAGCGGATATAGAAGTGATATTTGCAGCTATAGCTATCTTTGCTTAGATCTTATTCTAAAATATTAGAAAAACGTCTTCTTACATTCCTTGAAGCAAACAATATCATCTTGAACAAAGAGTTTCGCTTCTGACAGCGAAAGTTAACAGAAGATGCTAACTTTTTTTGGTATTGGTAGATCAGATCACAGCAATACTAAAACCAAAAAGAACTTTAGTATCGAATTTCTCGACCTACCCAAAGCGTTTGACACAGTTTCCAACAAATTAGAAGTTTGTCGTAAAGCGACAATTAACAACAACGAAACAACAAAAATAGAACAAAAAAAAATTTATTTAAATTTTAAAAAGATATTTACAGTTTTATATAAAAAATGAAGTATGATGATGATGATGGGTGACGTGAATTACAATTATTTTAAAAAAAAATAATAAAGATAGATGAGTACTGAAGCGGAGCCCGAAGACCAAAGTGGCACACCGCGCTTGGCGGTGGTGCTCACCGCTCACGGAGTATGCACAGGCTGTGCCTGTGGTAGGCGCGCAGCGCCTGGTCTAGGCACACGCAGCGCCTGGGGTAGGCACACGCAGCGCTTGGGGTAGGCACACGCAGCGCCTGGTCTAGGCACACGCAGCGCCTGGAGTAGGCACACGCAGCGCTTGGAGTAGACACACGCAGCGCCTGGAGTAGGCACACGCAGCGCCTGGAGTAGGCACACACAGCGCCTTGAGTAGGCGCTCTCAGCGCCTGGAGTAAGCGCTCGCAGCGCCTGGAGCAAGCACGCACAGCGGCTAAAGATAGCGCGGGCACTAGTAGGTGGAGGCGTGGGCGTGGCTAGGCGACGGCTTCAGGTGAAGGCAGAGGCTTGCAGGATCCCGGGGCAGTGCGGCCCCGGGATAAGGCCTTTAGGAGATGCTTCAAGTTTGAAAGCTGAAGTGAGACCGAGTTTATTGGCCGATTGTTCGGCTTTTATACCTTTTTAGAGAGCTC